ATGATATGGGGTCCACCTGTATGAGAGGTGTGTATATGATATGTGAGGGGTATATATGATATGTGAGGGGTATAAATGATATGTGAGGGGTGTATATGATATGTGAGGGGTATATATGATATGTGAGGGGTGTATATGATATGTGAGAGGTATAAATGATATGTGAGGGGTATAAATAATATGTGAGGGGTGTATATGATATGTGAGGGGTATATATGATATGTGAGGGGTATATGTGATATGTGAGGGGTATATGTGATATGTGAGGGGTATATATGATATGTGAGGGGTATATATGATATGTGAGGAGTATATATGATATGTGATAGTGGTATATATGATATGTGAGGGGTATATATGATATGTGATAGGGGTATATATGATATGTGATAGGGGTATATATGATATGTGAGGGGTATATATGATATGTGAGGGGTGTATATGATATGTGAGGGGTGTATATGATATGTGAGGGGTATATATGATATGTGATAGGGGTATATATGATATGTGAGGGGTATATATGATATGTGAGGAGTATATATGATATGTGAGGGGTGTATATGATATGTGAGGGGTATATATGATATGTGATAGGGGTATATGTGATAGGGGTATATATGATATGTGAGGGGTATATATGATATGTGAGGGGGGTATATGATATGTGAGGGGTATAAATTATATCTGAGGGGGGTATATGATATGAGAGTATATATGATGTGAGAGGGGTACATATGATGTGAGACGGGTACATATGATGTGAGAGTATATATGATGTGAGAGGGGTATATATGATATGTGAGTGGTATTAGATATTATATGACAGGGGTATATATGATGTGTGATAGATATATATGTTAGGTGAAGATCAGAAGTATATATAATATGTATATGAAATAACTTAGGGATATATATATGTAATGTATATATAATACATGCAAGGTATAATGATATGTGAGGGGTTTATATGATATGTGAGGGGTATATATGATATGTGAGAGGTATATATATTATGTGAGGAGTGTATATGATATGTGAGGGATAAATATGTGAGAGGGATGTATAGGAGATATAATGAAAGACTTCGGCTCCAAAACTTGGTCGTTTGACGTACAACAGGGAACACCTCAGTATTGTACACAGAAGGGCAAATGCCCACATCAGAAATGGCGCCGGCAACCACTTACTGGCAGCGGCCTCCTCACCTGTAGGGGTAGAAACAAGATGGCGGTGGAATCATGCGACTTCAGGCATGACGTCACCTCTGACTATGATTGACTGAAGCCTGCGCCCGTCATGTGAGGAGAATTCCAGGCGGGGCGGGCCGAGGGTGTGGGCGTGGTCAGCATATGAAGGAGGCTTGGAGTGGGGAAGATTGTAGAGGAGCGAGATGTCGCCGGGCAGAGTGTGGGGGAGGGTCGGGGCTCTGTCAGGTGCCCTGGCCGTCAGTCTGGGAGCCTATGGAGCCCATGGTGAGAGGGGGGCAAGGCTTCACTATATATACATATGGGGTGACTGTCTGTAGCTCGGTTTATCCTCTCTATGGTTATTGATGTGTAGTATGATATTAGACATGACCGTGCTGCACCTACCCAACTGTAAACCTTAGCTGTCCCTTTTAAAAAAATGTCTGCCATCATGTTTAAAGTGAAGATAACTCCGGGCTGGGAAATAAGTCCATGTAAATGATGTCTGGCCCCTGGGGGCCCACCTATATTATATCCCTGGGGTGGGTATCCTCGGCCCTCCAGCTGTGGTGGAACTACAAGTCCCATGAGGCATTGCAAGACTCTGACTGGCATGACTCCCAGAAGCACGATGGGGTTTGGGAGTCTTGCCTGTGGCTGGCAGATTCTTGCAATGCCTCATGGGACTTGTAGTTCCACAGGTGCCAAGATTATTTCATATCTGTGTCTTCCTGACCTCATCCTCCCACTGACATGCCCCCCCCCTCCTCCACTGGCCGCTGTAGATGGAACCATAGAAGACCCCCCTGTAGCCGGTCACATGTCTCACCTGATGGAACCATAGAAGACCCCCCTGTAGCCGGTCACATGTTTCGTCTGATGGAACCATAGAAGACCCCCCTGTAGCCGGTCACATGTCTCACCTGATGGAACCATTGAAGACCCCCCGTGATGTGATGTAACCCATCTCTGTTTCTCTTGCAGGATTCAGACGCAGTGACCGCGATGATCACCTGAAAGAGGTGAGACTTCCTCGCGTGGCGTCCATTTTCTTTCTTTGGCGCTATAATAGTAATGATGGCGGATCGCGAGGGTTAGATGAAGTGTTTCCAAACATTTAGCGCAGTTACATTTAACCTCCTCCAGCCTCCCCTCCCCCCCATCTACATACATGCATCGCCCTCCCGTAGCCCATCGCCCTCCCGTAGCCCATCGCCCTCCCGTAGCCCATCGCCCTCCCGTAGCCCATCGCCCTCCCGTAGCCCATCAGCCTCCTATACCCCATCCTGCCAGATACCCCATCACCCTCCTATACCCCATCCTGCCAGATACCCCATCCTGCCAGATACCCCATCCTGCCAGATACCCCATCACCCTCCTATACCCCATCCTGCCAGATACCCCTTTCTTCCCTTGCTAATTCCTGTACACAGAAGTCCCGGGACCGCAGCGTCACATGACCACAACTGTAGGTGACTACAAAGGGGATTTAGACCCGCGAGGGCGGTTGGATGGGTAGCAGGAGCTCAGCCCTGTCCCCAGCTCTCAACCAATCCCTCTCCCCCAAAAAAAACCCCTCACCTCGGCCCCGCCCTCCGACATTTGTGTGGGGCTCATGTGACATCGCCGGGAGCTCAAACTCCCAGGAGAATGCACTCTAACAATGGACAGCTCCAGCAGGAGGTACAAGAGGTGCTAAGAGTGTTTTGTGTCGTCTGTTTATATAAAGTTCTCCGAAGTCCCTCACCCGACATTTCTCTTCTTACAGCTGTTTGCCACTGGGAACCAATACCACTTCCTGCACAGCCTGGCCCTACTGGCCGTACCGCACTGCAGGCGCCCCCTGCTGGTACGTCAGCTCACCCCTGGAACTCCCCATCCCTCTGTATCACACCTTATCCCTGTCTCTGATCTCCTCTCACCCCTGGAACTCTCCATCCCTCTGTATCCCCCCTTATACCTGTCTCGGATCTCCCCTCACCTCTGGAACTCTCCGTCCCTCTGTATCACACCTTATCCCTGTCTCTGATCTCCTCTCACCCCTGGAACTCTCCATCCCTCTGTATCCCCCCTTATACCTGTCTCGGATCTCCCCTCACCTCTGGAACTCTCCGTCCCTCTGTATCACACCTTATCCCTGTCTCTGATCTCCTCTCACCCCTGGAACTCTCCATCCCTCTGTATCCCCCCTTATACCTGTCTCGGATCTCCCCTCACCTCTGGAACTCTCCGTCCCTCTGTATCACACCTTATCCCTGTCTCTGATCTCCTCTCACCCCTGGAACTCTCCATCCCTCTGTATCCCCCCTTATACCTGTCTCGGATCTCCCCTCACCTCTGGAACTCTCCGTCCCTCTGTATCACACCTTATCCCTGTCTCTGATCTCCTCTCACCCCTGGAACTCTCCATCCCTCTGTATCCCCCCTTATACCTGTCTCGGATCTCCCCTCACCTCTGGAACTCTCCGTCCCTCTGTATCACACCTTATCCCTGTCTCTGATCTCCTCTCACCCCTGGAACTCTCCATCCCTCTGTATCCCCCCTTATACCTGTCTCGGATCTCCCCTCACCTCTGGAACTCTCCGTCCCTCTGTATCACACCTTATCCCTGTCTCTGATCTCCTCTCACCCCTGGAACTCTCCATCCCTCTGTATCCCCCCTTATACCTGTCTCGGATCTCCCCTCACCTCTGGAACTCTCCGTCCCTCTGTATCACACCTTATCCCTGTCTCTGATCTCCTCTCACCCCTGGAACTCTCCATCCCTCTGTATCCCCCCTTATACCTGTCTCGGATCTCCCCTCACCTCTGGAACTCTCCGTCCCTCTGTATCACACCTTATCCCTGTCTCTGATCTCCTCTCACCCCTGGAACTCTCCATCCCTCTGTATCCCCCCTTATACCTGTCTCGGATCTCCCCTCACCTCTGGAACTCTCCGTCCCTCTGTATCACACCTTATCCCTGTCTCTGATCTCCTCTCACCCCTGGAACTCTCCATCCCTCTGTATCCCCCCTTATACCTGTCTCGGATCTCCCCTCACCTCTGGAACTCTCCGTCCCTCTGTATCACACCTTATCCCTGTCTCTGATCTCCTCTCACCCCTGGAACTCTCCATCCCTCTGTATCCCCCCTTATACCTGTCTCGGATCTCCCCTCACCTCTGGAACTCTCCGTCCCTCTGTATCACACCTTATCCCTGTCTCTGATCTCCTCTCACCCCTGGAACTCTCCATCCCTCTGTATCCCCCCTTATACCTGTCTCGGATCTCCCCTCACCTCTGGAACTCTCCGTCCCTCTGTATCACACCTTATCCCTGTCTCTGATCTCCTCTCACCCCTGGAACTCTCCATCCCTCTGTATCCCCCCTTATACCTGTCTCGGATCTCCCCTCACCTCTGGAACTCTCCGTCCCTCTGTATCACACCTTATCCCTGTCTCTGATCTCCTCTCACCCCTGGAACTCTCCATCCCTCTGTATCCCCCCTTATACCTGTCTCGGATCTCCCCTCACCTCTGGAACTCTCCGTCCCTCTGTATCACACCTTATCCCTGTCTCTGATCTCCTCTCACCCCTGGAACTCTCCATCCCTCTGTATCCCCCCTTATACCTGTCTCGGATCTCCCCTCACCTCTGGAACTCTCCGTCCCTCTGTATCACACCTTATCCCTGTCTCTGATCTCCTCTCACCCCTGGAACTCTCCATCCCTCTGTATCCCCCCTTATACCTGTCTCGGATCTCCCCTCACCTCTGGAACTCTCCGTCCCTCTGTATCACACCTTATCCCTGTCTCTGATCTCCTCTCACCCCTGGAACTCTCCATCCCTCTGTATCCCCCCTTATACCTGTCTCGGATCTCCCCTCACCTCTGGAACTCTCCGTCCCTCTGTATCACACCTTATCCCTGTCTCTGATCTCCTCTCACCCCTGGAACTCTCCATCCCTCTGTATCCCCCCTTATACCTGTCTCGGATCTCCCCTCACCTCTGGAACTCTCCGTCCCTCTGTATCACACCTTATCCCTGTCTCTGATCTCCTCTCACCCCTGGAACTCTCCATCCCTCTGTATCCCCCCTTATACCTGTCTCGGATCTCCCCTCACCTCTGGAACTCTCCGTCCCTCTGTATCACACCTTATCCCTGTCTCTGATCTCCTCTCACCCCTGGAACTCTCCATCCCTCTGTATCCCCCCTTATACCTGTCTCGGATCTCCCCTCACCTCTGGAACTCTCCGTCCCTCTGTATCACACCTTATCCCTGTCTCTGATCTCCTCTCACCCCTGGAACTCTCCATCCCTCTGTATCCCCCCTTATACCTGTCTCGGATCTCCCCTCACCTCTGGAACTCTCCGTCCCTCTGTATCACACCTTATCCCTGTCTCTGATCTCCTCTCACCCCTGGAACTCTCCATCCCTCTGTATCCCCCCTTATACCTGTCTCGGATCTCCCCTCACCTCTGGAACTCTCCGTCCCTCTGTATCACACCTTATCCCTGTCTCTGATCTCCTCTCACCCCTGGAACTCTCCATCCCTCTGTATCCCCCCTTATACCTGTCTCGGATCTCCCCTCACCTCTGGAACTCTCCGTCCCTCTGTATCACACCTTATCCCTGTCTCTGATCTCCTCTCACCCCTGGAACTCTCCATCCCTCTGTATCCCCCCTTATACCTGTCTCGGATCTCCCCTCACCTCTGGAACTCTCCGTCCCTCTGTATCACACCTTATCCCTGTCTCTGATCTCCTCTCACCCCTGGAACTCTCCATCCCTCTGTATCCCCCCTTATACCTGTCTCGGATCTCCCCTCACCTCTGGAACTCTCCGTCCCTCTGTATCACACCTTATCCCTGTCTCTGATCTCCTCTCACCCCTGGAACTCTCCATCCCTCTGTATCCCCCCTTATACCTGTCTCGGATCTCCCCTCACCTCTGGAACTCTCCGTCCCTCTGTATCACACCTTATCCCTGTCTCTGATCTCCTCTCACCCCTGGAACTCTCCATCCCTCTGTATCCCCCCTTATACCTGTCTCGGATCTCCCCTCACCTCTGGAACTCTCCGTCCCTCTGTATCACACCTTATCCCTGTCTCTGATCTCCTCTCACCCCTGGAACTCTCCATCCCTCTGTATCCCCCCTTATACCTGTCTCGGATCTCCCCTCACCTCTGGAACTCTCCGTCCCTCTGTATCACACCTTATCCCTGTCTCTGATCTCCTCTCACCCCTGGAACTCTCCATCCCTCTGTATCCCCCCTTATACCTGTCTCGGATCTCCCCTCACCTCTGGAACTCTCCGTCCCTCTGTATCACACCTTATCCCTGTCTCTGATCTCCTCTCACCCCTGGAACTCCCCATCCCTCTGTATATTAGGTTGTGGTGTTTGGACATTATACGCAGTGGCTGGCACAGAATGTTGTGTGTTTGGCTCCCCCTGCAGGCGGGATCTCTGATGACATCGGGAATTGTTCTGTTCTGTGGGACGTTCTATTACCATGCCGTGTCTGGGAACCCCGCTCTCACTAAGGTTGCACCTTATGGGGGCACCCTGCTGATCCTCGGGTGGGCTGCCATGGCCCTCTGAACATTCGGGACTCATCCCTATCCCGGGATTCCTACGTTATCCTCAAAATTCCAAATTAAATCTTTTTATCGCGTTTATCATGTCAAAGTCATTTTGTAGTAAATATTTTTTCCTGAACAGCTTCTGTGTGTTTGTTCTTTATCTGTATATAGCTCTGGCATATACCGCAGCGCTGTACAGAGGAGCTTACACTCTAATGTCCCCTCCCCCCCACAGTCACATCAGTCTCTGTACAGCGGAGCTTACACTCTGTCCCCTCCCCCCACAGTCACATCAGTCTCTGTACAGAGGAGCTTACACTCTAATGTCCCCTCCCCCACAGTCAAAATGCCCCCTCCCCCCCAGAGTCACATCAGTCTCTGTACAGAGGAGCTTACACACTAATGTCCCCTCCCCCACAGTCACATCAGTCTCCGTACAGAGGAGCTTACACTCTAATGTCCCCCCACAGTCACATCAGTCTCTGTACAGAGGAGCTTACACTCTAATGCCCCCAAGTGTCCAAGGTCGTTGCAGCTCAATATTCTGGCTGCATGGGACACACTGGCTCAGTTCCTGGACCTCCCCATGTTGTTGTCCAGCAAGACAAAGCTTGCCCTGAGGTGACGGATCTCCAACACTGCGCTGGAAGATCCTTAGTCCCAAGGGTGTGAAAGGTTCTCATGGCAGGTGGCAGTCTGGAAGGTAGGAGAGCAGTTCTAGAGAACCTCTTGCTTCAAGGGACCTGGTTGGTGGTGGGAATCATGACTTCTGGTTAACATCTTGCAGCTCAGGGTGATTTGGTTGTCTCCTCAACTCTGGATTCCCTATTTATGGGCCCAACTGACCAGGATTCAGTCGGACATCAACCTTTGGGGGAGGCCCCAGAAATCACGCAGCTCAAAGAGAAGCAGACCTGATCCTGTCCTGGGGGGAACTTCTCGTGTTGGTTCCGTCTGCTATATACATCCCAGATGAAGAGAATTGGCAGCTGTACTTTCTCAGTCTTCACTATTGGTGGTCCCTTCGCACAAGGGTGTTTCAGGACCTTTTGCCTCGCATCGGGGGACACTGAAAGTGGACCTCCTGGCGTCCAAGTTCACCAACAAACTCGGCAAGCTTATAGCCAGGGCCAGGGATTGCCAGGCCTTTGCAGTGGACGCCTTGTTGGCCCTCTGGGATCAGTTCAGCCTGATCTTCACTTTCCTTCCTCTGAAATACTTGTCTTCACTCCTTCACACTATTGAGGAGGACATTGTGGTGATCCTCATTGCTCCCAATTGGCCCAGGACACCATGCTATGGGGTCAAACTTCTTGGAAGCAGACTGTCCGTTCGCACTTCTTCCAGATCTTCTGTCCCAAGGACCGGTATTCCACCTTGCTTCTCAGTCACTGATTTAACGGCCTGGCTGTTGAAGCGCAGCTTCTGAAGGACAGAAGACTCTTAGACGTTGTTATCTCTTCGCTTCTAGAAGAGAGGAAGTTCACCTCCCGCAAGGGTTACCATCACACTTGGTTTTTTTGCTTGGTGTGAAGTGAGGAAGTTTCATGCCAGGATGTACTCAACATGATGCATCCTATGTTTCCTTTAGTCTGACCTAGACGAGAGTTTAGCCTTGACTACTATCAAAGGCCCAATTTGTGGCTTGGTGATTTTTTTTCTTTTATTGTCCGATTGCCTCTCATTCTGTAGTGAAGGGGTTCGCTCATGTTGTCCCCCCTGTATGCACCCCAGTGACTCTGTAGGACCTCAACTTAGTTGAGGTAGAAGCCCCCTTCGAACCTCTCAGAGATATCCCTCTGACCCTTCTTACTCGCAAGGTTACCTCCCTCCTCACCATCACTGCTGTTCATGTTTCTGAGTTGGAGGCCTTGACTTGAAAAGAGCCTTATCTGCGAGGATAAGGTAGCACTGAGACTTAAGGCCTCCATTCTTTCTAAGATGGTCTCCACCTTAACCAGTGCATTGTTTTGACTCTCCTTTATGTCCCGCACCAAAACCTCCTGGAGAAGTTTCCCTCCGCTGTTTGCATGTGGTTCAGGCTTTTGGAATTCACCTCAGTGCTACAGCTTCCATCTGCAAATCTACTTCCTCTTTGTCAGTCCTAAGGGTCCCTGTATGGGGCAGCCGGCTTCCCATCACACTATTGATAGGTGGACATGGCAAGCTTTCACTTAGGCCTTTGAGTTGAAGGGTAATGTACCACCGCCACTCCTGCAGAGGCTCACTTCTTGGCCTTCCAGCATCAGGCTTCAGTATCCCAAATCTGTAGAGCTGCCCCCTGGTCTTCTGTTCACAGGTGGATGTTCAGGCCTCAGCCGCAAGGTTCTTCAGGTGGCCCTCTGAATTGTGGGCCTTTCTGTTACTGTTCCCTGTTGGAGTTGGTTGTTTTCATGGGCCATTTAGCCATTTTTATGGCTCTGTCCGCTGTCCCTCTGTTGGACTGCTTTTTGGACGTACCATTGGTTCCAGAATGAACTCCCCGTGTCCTGTAATGTACAATCAAGAAAACAGGATTTTGCCTTGCCCATAAAATAAGATTCTTGGAGTATATCACATGACACAAAACCCCCCCCCCCCCCCCAACACCCACGCCCCCCCCCCCCCCCCCTCGGGGTGTCTGGGATCTGCTCTTGTACCGCTTACTATAAAACTAAGGCAGGCTGGCAGTGGAAGGGTTATATGCAGGGCTGTCCTGACGGTTTGGATTTGCCAGTGTCCTGTGTTTTTCCTTTGGGAGGACACACTTTGGTAAGGGGTAGGACCTCCTTTCACATGGATAATTGGCAGTATGGAGTCATCGAGATGCTGGAAATGTTTGTTAGGATTTTATACTATGTAGGCTCAGATGCATGATGGGATTCTTGTAGACTTGTGAGCTGCAATGTATATTGCAACCCTTCCATTCCAACTCCTCCCAAAGTCTCTGTTTACATACAGTATATTGCCAAAAGTATTGGGCCCCTCCCCCTCCAAATCATTGGATTCGGGTGTTCCGTGACATTTCCCGGCTACTAAATATTCCGCCGCGGTCACCTGTTACTGGGATTATAACAAAGTGGAAGCAACCTGGAGTCCCAATACTTTTGGCAGTATAGCGTATGTGCATTTGTCATGTGACGCACCGTGTGTTACAATCTGGTACCAGTCCGCTCTGTTGGGGATTTGCTTTGCTGGAATTGCCCCCAAAGAGGAGCAAACGGGATCCATGTGAACGTATTGAATTGGATTTATGCCGTGCACGGCACATTGTATTCATTCTCTCTGACCTCCCTCATCACCAAGGAGTCTCCTCCCCCCCCCCCCCCCAGAACTGTATTTTACTGGAGGTTTATTGTTTCCTTGTACTATTCTTTGTGAATTGTGGAGCGCGAACATTCCAGGGTGTCAGCAGTTCCTGTGAACCACCAAATCTGTCACCAACAATCATTTACAGCCGAAGTCGCTGAGATTGCAAATCTAACTTTGTGTTTGATCCAGTAACAGCCGAGCCTCCCGATTGATGTCTGTATGCTTTATTATTATTATTATAGAGGATTTATATAGCGCCAACAGTGTGCGCAGCGCTGTACAATATAAGGAAGACATTACAATCACAATACAATTCAAGACAAGATGGTAAGGAGGGCCCCGCCCCTGAGGGCTTACAATCTAAAAGGGAGGGGGAAGTGATACATGAGGAGGTAGCTGTGTGGGGATGAATTGTATGAGAACGTGATGGTGGAGTGGTTTGGTTGAGGTGGGATCGGCTTCCTTGAAGAGATGAGTCTTAAAGGAGAACTATGGGGTCAGTGTTTTTCTCCATAGTTCTCCTTAGGGTAACGGGAGGACACAAACTAGCGTCCTCCCGTCACCCTAAGCTCAGTATATAGGGAGCTACAGCTCGCGGTATACTGAGACGCCGCAGCTGAAGCGGATCCCGACAATTGTGCTGGGATCCGCCCAGCCTATCTAGAGGCAGAGCCAGCTGTACCCGCCCCCTCCCCCGTCCGATCCGCCAGTCAGCGCTGGCGGAGCGGGGAGGGGGGAATCCAGCCCCTCCCCTGTCACCGCAGAGAGAGCCGTGACAGGATCGAGAGGCGAGCGAACGCCGGTATGTGTTCCCTCACTTCCCGATCTATTGAAGCGACATGTGACAGTCTAATTGTTACAGTTCGGCTAGAACTATGAGGTGAGTGAAAAGCACTCCCCTCATAGTTCTCCTTTAAGGGATCGCCTAAAGGCAGTCAGAGTGGGAGATAGACGGACCGGTTGGGGTAAAGAGTTCCATAGGATGGGAGAGACTCTAGTGCAGTCCTGGAGGTGAGTATGGGAGGAGTTGATGAGGTTGCTGGAAATCAGGAGGTCTTGGGAAGAGCGGAGGGGACGGTTAGGGTGATACTTTGAGACAAGGTTTGAGATGTAGCCGGGGGCGGAGCTGTGGATGGCTTTGTACGTGGTTGTTAATATTTTAAACTTTAACCTTTGGGCTATTGGAAGCCAGTGGAGGTATGGGGGGGCGGGGGGATGGAGGCCAGTGCCGGGATTGGCAGAGGGGGGTTTGCAGACACTGAACTGTTGGTTAGGTGGATGAGTCTAGCAGCTGAATTCATGATGGACTGAAGGGGGGAGGAGCCTGTGTAGTGGAAAGCCAATGAGGAGGGAGTTGCAATAGTCAAGACGAGAGATGACAAGGGAGTGTATGAGTAATTTAGCAGTTTCATTGGTGGCTTTATGTCCTGGCTTTATGTCCTGAGTTACAGCCGCTTGATTGCCTGTTAAAGCCCAACTCTGAGCTGAATGTCCTCGAGAACGAAAAAAAACCGAGCTGCAATACTCGCCTCCTCTCCAGTCACCTGCAATACCTTTTCATCGACACGATGTCCTCCTCGGTCTTCCTGGTTGGGTGATGCTTATTGTCATTCATTGCTGAAGACACGGGACATACTGGGGGGGTGCAGCACATCATGGACCCACCCTTGAAGGAGGTGTCACAGTCACGATGCTGAAAGCGTTGAGGATTGCCCACCACTGGAAAAGGTGCAAAGAGAGAGGACTTAATTTCTCGTCCATTGGGG